ATAGAAAAGAAAAAGCAATACCTACTAGTCATTTCTTCATAATATTACTCTATAAATGAATGCAGAACCTGCCAGCAGTTAATATTGCCCTGAAGCACTGTGAATAAACACTTGTCTGGTATTAGGTACATACGCAAACCTCCATTTATAAATCAAGGTGCAATGTGCCATATAGATGAACAAAAGAAGAAGAAAAAAATCCCTACCTTGTCCTATATTAGACATTAAGTGCTTCTTTTGATCACAAAATAACTCATAAAGCCGATCAAAATGCTAGGCACTTCTCTCTCTGTCAGATAAAAGACATTTCACTGTAATTAAACTTCTGTCCAACTTCCCAGAAGATTAGGGGAAGAAATCTGACAGGGTCTATTTATATTTGTGACTGACACTCCTTGGGACATCCAAGGAAAAGGGAAGATGGGCAACAGATTTACGACACGCTTCCAAGCTAACAGCACTTACGGAGATGGACGGTTCTGAGCTTATCATCACTCATTCATTGGTCGTGGGTTTTTTATTTTATTATAAAAAAAAATTCCCTACTGCCCAATTCAAAAGCATTTTATGTTCAGTCTGCAATCTATGTTTCCCAGCCTTCAATGGTTTAGTTTTTTATTTTAAAGTGACAGCACACACAGCCGATTGTTTGGGTAAATCAGCTTCACTTGATTTATACGAATAACGATGATAAACATCCATGTCTCTTAACAGAACTCTGTGAGCAAGTGGAGAAGGAAAGTAGTTTCTCACACATATTCTAGGTATCCTCTTTCACATACAAAACTATATGTCAAAACACATGGCTGGGTTTCTGACACTAGCCGATGGGAATAAGCCATCAGCTCCAGGATCCCAACACCAGAACCAAAGATTTACTGCTCTTCCATTTTAGTTTGTGTCCCACACCCTGCTGAGTACCAACTTCACCTACGTTTCCTTGTATTTGACTTTCCACAAGATACATCAATGGTTCAAAGTCAATATTGCACTTAGATAACAAGGGCAAAAGCAGAAAAGAAATGAGCACTCGGAGAGAGACTGCAAGTAACCAATAAAGTACATTTTCATGGCCTGTCTTTCAGAACTGCAGCAAAGATCAAACTTGAAGCAGTACCATTCCTTCACATTTAGCCACCTGAGAGGACAGCACTTATGAGAAGGGAAGTTTTCCCCTACATTTCAAATTCTAGAATGCTTTGCCAGGATTGTTTTATGAAATCTCTTCAGAGACTTTAAATATGCAGATAGGAAGCTAAAGAAGTAAGAGTGCAGCTTTTCTCACTTAAAAAAAAACAAACAACACAACCAAAAAACTAGTGTAACTACTACATCATTTTTCCATAAGACAAAAGCTTACAAATCACTTGGCCAACCTTCCATACTACAAGCACCAACTATCAACTCTTCCTCAAAAAATACATTTCAACATGCCACACCTAGAGAATTCACACTCGGGGAGGGGGAAGGGGAATGCACTTAAACTAATGATGGCTGCATGATTAAACTGACCCACTAATTAAACACCTTTCATTACCTTTTCCTAAAGAACAGAGCAGGTACATTTCACACTACCAAAGCAGCCCTTAGCAAACTTCTTCTGAGCTTTTAAACTCTTAGACTGTAATCTTTGTTCTGCAGTTGGAGCTGCACCATCCTCCCCCGCTGTTACTGCTGGAAGTATAATTTACTCTATTTAGACAACTTGTAGCAACACACTCCAAAACGGCAGTGAGATTCCATCACGGACTATTAATGGCACTTTCAGCTCCATTACTCAGTGATCCTGAAGTAGCGAAGAGAAGCAAGATGCCGCTGACGCGTTCGGTGCAAGAGTGACCCTCTCTTCGTCCCCTGTGCCAGCACCACAGGAAGATTTTCCTCCCCAGCAAAAATAGCAAGCTCCAAGGGAGGCGACACAGCTCAAATATGTAAACAATCACAGTTAAAAGAAATTGATTTAAACCTACCGTTCAGGAAATGCAGTCCTGTGGTTCTGTGTCTAAAAGCATCCAGTCTGGGGGACACAGCAAATATAGTGGGCATCATCTTTTGATTGCTGGGAGGCCTCGAGACGCCGCACAGGTTACCCAAAACACAGAATCCACTTCGGTCCCCCAAGCAGAAGTGGGGGAATATCAATGCAAAGGCTGATTTGTAATGATGGAACCTTTTTATGGTGGGATGATCTCTGTAACCTTTTAGTAAGAGGAACAACAGGCCCCAAAAATTTGACAGTAATAAACGGAAAGCAGTTCAAGAATGGAGGAGTGAGACAAATTCAGTCTGTTTGGAGAAGCCATTTGGAAATGTTGTTACCAGTGTGTGTGTATGGCCTAACTCCCTGTGCTAGATCAATTAAGGGACAGTGAGAAACAGTTGAGCTAGATCTGCTCCACTTTTACACAAAGGAATGGCACCTCACACAGCAAACCGGTCCCTCCTGATGCCTTCTCCACGGCTGGTTTGGCTCCTGAAGTCAAGTCCCGCTCACATTCCCCTGTATTAGCAACTAACTCCTGCTTCCCTGCCGGGCATCCCCTCTGAGCAAACACAAACTGGGGACTATTTGTCAGGTTGTGAGACAAACAGCAGTTGGCAAGTGTCTATCACAGTCACTAAACAATGCAGGAAAGGTACCGTCACTGGGAATAAAAAACAAGGCAATCGCAGCGTAAAGACTGAAAAACTAATCAGGTAGCAAAAAAACCCTCCCAGGCACTCTTCTGCCCGCGTTTAAAAGGTCAGCAATGACCCAACGTACATCCTCTGTGCGAAGACTCGGTATCAGCCATTTAGGGAAGAGGCTCACGTTGCCAGCCTGAACACCACTCCAGCCTCTTCCACTAAACCGAATTTTGCTTTGCAGCAACAGGTAAGTCAGGGCTACCTGTGACTGTCCACCTCAGGGCCATAAATTAAATTCAGATGCCAAGTTTTGGTGATGTTTCCTTAAGCATCTACTGAAACATTCATTTTAATGAAGAAAAATAATCAAAGCTTCTTAAGGTAGGCAAATCCTTTCGTCTTCGTACTGCACATTGCTCTATATGCACATAAGCACCAACTTGATAAATCAAACACAGCACCTCCAGTACTGAAGACTTAACACAGAAAAAAAAAAAAAAAAAACAATAGAAAGCTGAATAAGTGCTGGCCTCAATCACTAGAGGGAGTCATGATAACATATTAAGTCACTGTAATACACAGAGCATTCTGAACACAATTATGAAATAAATAAAAGACCATCAGCTATATCTGGATGTCATGCAGGGAGAAGAGAAAATTAGATTTGCTTCCTTAACAAGGTTTGATTTCCAAAGAGTAGAGGCCTTCTCCTGGGAATTTTCAAATCACCTGTAATGAAAGGTTTTTTTAAAAATGTATCTGATTGCCTACATATTAAGACAGAGAGATGTATGTCACAGAAGAAAGCTGAAATTATCCGTTTTGAAAATGACACACAGCACTGCATCAAGAAAATGTTGGAATTTTAATTGAAGCAGCTTTACAGCCAATTTCACTTGAAATCAAAAAGTAATCTTAATAATGTTTTTATTTTTAAACTAAATTGGCACAATTACATCCAGCATGAACAGGCAGCACCAAAAGACTGCTTTTTCAACAGATGATTCCCCTTGGCAATTAATAAATTTAGAAAGTACATCTCTCTAAAAGGCTGCGAGAAGCAGCCTGAAAGAAAATAAAGTAAAAAAAAAAAATCAATAACTCAAACATTACCATCATTTTATTTGATATTTGATCAATTGTGGGTTTGAGGGTTTGCTTGGTTTATTTTTAATATAGGAAATATCTTTTTTTCTACTGGTGAGATTTTTTTCACCCCCCTTTAAACTTAGCAAAAAACCCAAAAACCAATTTGGCCAGCCGCACTCAGAGGAGTTTACACTTGGCTAACAATTTTACAACCTACTAAACAGTTTCATTAACAGCAGCAGCACATGGGAGGCTTTTAACACCCAGCTTGAATCCTGCCCATCACTAGTGAGGCGGAGCCCAGCACACGATCATCTCTCCAACCAAAAAGCTGACACATTGCTCATGAGACGTATCAGCAAGTGCAGCCCAAGACAAAGGAAGAGTGCTTGTCCAGTGCTCATTCCATGCTATTTGACTGCTCTGCATTCAACACGCTTACACTAAAGGTTGAAATTCTCCGCACTCCCATTGCTTAGACCCATCAGCTAACACCTGGGTGAGGACAGAGCCTTTTTGAAAGACAGGGGTATTTTTTTTTTTTTAAACAAGAACAGACAACAGGTTCCTAACAGGAAGAAAACAAAAACTGTTTGGGAAGCAAGAACACACCAAGGATGAGAAGCACTTTCTCATCACGCTGTGGAACCACGTTAAGGAAGGCTGGGTGCAACCAGGGAAGTCTGGCTGTGTGCAACCAGGGAAGTCTGTGAAGTTAAGCTCTGGCAGACATACTCCTTCTCCCGTTAGATGTTCACTCTCGCATCAGGGCAAAGATTTAAACACCTTCTAGTTTCAAATACATATCTCACTCTATAAATAGATTGCTCCTCCCAAAGCCTAGGAGCACTTCGCCATCAAAACTTCAAACATACTTTTCCACCATCACCTACAGAAACTCATCCTTTACGTAGTCAACTCCCAGTCCTCAAGGCTCATACTCCCTTTCCCATACCAATGACTGCTCTGCACATTTTGCTGTGCCATTCCCTTTCCCAATGAAATGCTTGCCCTTGCAAACACTTCAGCACATAAAATAAAAGTGGATGAACTGTTCACTGAATCCACCCACGCTTCTTTATCTTTTTTCTCTCTGCAAGGATTTAAGTAAGCAAAAGTACTCTTCATCACCATGGGAAAGAACAGAAGATGGCATAGAAGGCTCCATGCAACAGCAAAGAAATCCAAAGAGCCACTCTCACAGTTTGAAGTTCTTGCTCGCTTGCTACATGCTTTAATATAGCGGCATCTTGCTACCAGCACCCGCTACTGGTATCACTCACCTGTTGGTGATGGTGGAGTTCTGCTCTTTCAGCACAAGCTCCCTTTGCTGCAGGGCCACGATTTGCCTCGAGAGATCATCAGGCGTCCTGTACAATTAAAAGAAGTAAGAATTTTTTAACAAATAAATGGTTTTTAAGAAAAAAAAAATCCATGTTCTGTTCACAAGCGTAAAAAGGTCTTGCCAAAAGCAGACAAGGCAATTTCTCCAGGTCAAAGCTGCCGCAGTCCATTAGAACAACACAGGGTTGCATCCACCCAGCTTCCATAACAGCCCGTTTTATTAAAGCCACCACTTGTTGCTGTAACCACCATCCAAGTCACAGCATCTCACCACTGGTCACTTCAACCCATAAACCAACACTAAAGCCAGAGTCAGCAAGACCAAATTCTTCAAAGCAAGCAGCCTGTGTAAACACTCATACCAGATGAACTCACAGCTTACCACTTGAACACTTTCTTTTTATTTTTCAAATATATAAAAGAACAAGTGTTTAGGAGGTCCTCCCCAGCCTAGCGCTCAGCACAAATGAACAAGGATGAGCACACGCTGCATTACTCTAACTGCTACTCAATTACTGAGTCTCAGCGGATCACAGGGTTATTCCCAAAAGGGTAAGGAAGTAAATGTACATACAGCCTATACAGTTCAACAACTGAACACATAGAGCCTGTACAGTTCAGCTGCTGGACACCCTCTGAGAGCCCAGAGGTTCAGCTACAGCACAGGTGACTCAAAGCGGCGTTCTCGTGCACTCACTTGAGAGACCTTCATGCAAGCAGTGACTCCAGAGCCATGGGGGGGAAATAAAATAAAAAAAATAAATCCGTGAGCTCTAGGTAACACTTCAGATACCTCTTTGATAACCTTTTCTTGTCAAAGAGATCAAAGATTTCTACAGATCTGCTAGCAACAGCTCTGCAGGTGTCAGGAATTGGATCTGATGGAAAAATAAACCTATGACGAATTCTTAAAACCAGTGAAAGGGGATCAAGAGAACTCTCATCTGGCAGTCCCAGAAACCGTCTTCTCACATCAGCAGTCTCTGCAGGAGATAACCATTCTTTTCAGAGACCTCTCTAAATCATGGGTGTAAGAGATCCAACTCTAAATGAAGGTAGCTTATGAAAAAATTCAAAATTATTTTTCTCTTGAGCCACCAGAAAGGGTTTCCCATCCCAAAAGAGCAACATCTGTATCACAGGTCTCAAAGGAAAAGAAGCTGGAAAGGGTGTCACCAGATGCACTGGGAATTCTATCCTATTGTAAAACTTAATTCCAAGTCAACAAGGCTCTGAAAAATGCAGTTCCAAGCCTCTCATAATTCACCCAAATACAGCAGATTAATCACAAGGATAATTAGTATCAAGCATCCCTCTGGCCATTTGTGTGCCAGACCCCAACACCAGCATTTGTTCCTGTATCAATGAAATAATTGCACAATTTTTTTCTTTAATGGGTTTAAAAGGAAGAAAGAGTATATTTGCCTTGATTTTTTCCTCATTTCCTCAGAAATTCATACCATAATGTATTAGGACTGAGATAGAGAACTGAAATTAATCCAGTAGTAAAATGAGACGGGATTATGAAAGCCACAGATTTCTAGTAATGGGAGCTACTGACAGATTTCCAATAAAAAACAATCATACTCATCTGTTTGGCAATTCAAATCAACACTCAGCTTCCAATCTCAGTTTCAGCAACTGGCAGCTTTAGGTTTATACTTAGTTCTGGAGAATGTTTTATTGGCATTACAATTTATTTTTTTTTAAGTGGAGCAGCATAGCTATATGATAGAAAACAAAATCAATGGGTATTAACCTCCTCTAAAGAAGAGTTCACTTTCTGTAGAACCAAATCCTGTCAGATGGTCAGAGACAAAGACACCCCTTGCACTCACTCTGCCACAAAATACCTTTACTGCCAGGTTTCAAAGCCTGTTTCTGAGGTCTACATCCTACCTCATGACACAAAATTTAACAAAATCCAGATATATGCAGTTTTGAGTGGAGGAATGACACTGCATGCACAACAAAATTAAGTCAGGTGAGCTTGCAATTTGAAGAGAACTGGTCAGCTCTCAAAGTGCTGCAACTACCAACCAGGCCTCATCGCTGTGAGCGGTCCTCTTGCTTCACAAGTTGCTGAAAAAACACCACATAGGGAAATTTGTCAGCATCCCAGCACACAGGTAGCACGTTCTGACCTTGAGAGTCTCTGTCCGACGAGCTAGCTCTGTGCTAAGCTCTGTCCATTCCCTAGAGATCATTTGATACCAAAACCAGTATTAAAAAGTCAGGAAGTCTGCTTGAAGACACTCTGTACGACAGCACAACTTACCGACACTACTCAGATCACCACAGGTACTTCAGAGAAGTTTGAACCTGCATCCTCGCACAACCATCCCCAGAACTCCCTTTCTGGAAAGCTGCTGTTTGTGCACTGTTTGTCCTGCGAACCCGCAGCCAGCTCCGTCCCCCAAGAAACGACAGAGCCCAGGGAACCGTGAAGAAACCCCACACCTCGCTTCCATCAGCCGTGCAAAGTCCTCTAAACGAAACACACACGCAACAGCACGATTCAAGACTAGCGTGTGATTAAAACCGAATCGTTCGCTATGTAATTATAAAGGCAATATAAGAACAAAGTGGCTTCCAAAACGCAGGTGCAGATTAAATCACTGACTTCAGTTTCCTTCTCCTGCACAAGGAGCCAAATGCTGGAACATTCTTCCTCTGTCCCACCACCCCATCCACATTTCCTTCTGCAATAACCTTTAAGAAAAAAACTAGCAGTAGAATTTAAGCCTGATTTGGAAACAAGATGGTTTTTGCCCTAAATGACTCCAGCCCAGCTTAGCAGGACAGTAAAGCAGGAGAGGGACAAAATTGCTGTTAACTGCTTTGAAGTGCATATAATTTGAAAAGGAGCAACTTAAGATGATAAAACCCTAAAACTGTTCAAGGGAAGTTAAAAATTATCTTACTGGGATGCCTGAGTCACTCAATGACTTTCAAGTGCCCACTGGCACAGGTTTTTAACTTTCAACAAGGAAAATAGTTAACACAAACGTTTTATGCTTTTTTTTTATGCACACAACTGACATTTCACAGCCATTTGCTAGAAAGCTCGGCTGAGCTGCCTTAGTTAAGGCTCCATTACCATTTCAGCACAAACTGCGACAGTCACACACTGAGAATTAGCTGCTGAAGTAACACTAAACCAAGACTCAGTAAGCAGATGAAGATGCTGAAGTAAAAATTGATTTTTTTAATTTATAATTTATTAGAATGTCAACTTATTGCTTCTATAAAATGTTTCAAAATTCACAGCAAAGGAGGAGGTTTGATTGCAGCTAGATACCTGACACTAAATTTTAACTGAGGAGGTACAAGACAGAAGTAAAACTAAATAGAAACCCAGGCACTTAGTCAACTTTATTGACTAAATTTTTAAAAATTTAATTTGCTTGAAACTACCAAATAACACACCTATAATAATAAATTACCCTGAATTACTTATTTTTGGAAGTCTGCTGAATTATCATTCCTCTCCATAGTTTTAATTCAGTATGAATACACGATGACACAGATTTGGCTGTCTCAACTGAGTGATACTAAATTGAAATGGAACATTCCCGGGTTTCTGGCATGCCGTTTTAGATGGATCCATAAACTGTTTTACACTTAAGCGTAATCAAAAAGACCAGAGACAGAGTCTTTACTACAGTGTTTGTTAAGAGAATCAGGCACAAAAAGGGAGGGCACATCTGCTGCCTTCTCTTCAACCAAAATATTTCCAGGTTTTTGTTTGTTGGGGTTTTCTTGTGTGTGAGTTGTTAGTTTTTAAGGGTGGTCTTCTAAAAATACCAATTTTGAATTTTGTTCTTTATCTGTTTTTATAATATGTGTAAGAAACAAAACAATTTTTAAATTCTCCTTTTCCCAAGAAGAAACTTTTTGACTTTGAAAAAGGAATTTAATCTTCTTCCCAGGCAGGAAAACAACAGCATCTAAAGAACAAACACGGAGCGATAACATGACAACAACAGAAGTTTTCTGGAAAGGCATTTTAGTTGTTTTAAATATTTCCGTGTGATTAGAAAGGCTGTGAAATGTTTGTAATAGTCTCTTCCTCTGTGTTTGAAGTAAGTTTTCCAAACATACTTTTTGTATATTTGAGCTCTACAGCTGCTTTAACTTCTCTATCTCTGCTTTACAGGACTCCCACACTTACTTAAACTTCACCAGCAAGTCCAAAAAGCAGCTCAGTTCCTGGGATCACTTGTCCTTCAAGAAAGTACAACAAATACCAATAACCCTAACTGACTTCCCATGATAGGGCGACACAGAGTCCTTAAGTTTAATTTGGTCGTATTAACTCAAAGTTTTGTATTGCAAAAATAAATTCGCAAAATTTCCCAGTTTAGGAATTTCTTAATGTTTTGTAACACACTAAAATGTTTCGAAAATGTTTATTCAAATGAAGGTGCTAAGAGTTGTCAAAAAAGCAAAACTACGGTATAACTTCACGCTGTTTCTCCAACAAATGGTAAGCTTCGTATTTTGCGTACAAAGTGAAAGAGGAAATATGAAGTGCAAACTGAAAACAAATAATCTCAACCTCTGAGATTCCCTTCATTTAGAAAAGAAACCTCACATCTGGATATAGATACATCTGGATATAGATAGAATCAACAAATCCAATTGCTCTTTACCAAAGCAAATGTCCCCATTAAGCACTTGAAGAACAACTTATTTGTAAGAAATCATGACGTTCTTCTAAGTGTCTTGACAATTCTAAAGACAATTGATATGTCTTTTGAAGTAACTGCAAAACTAGCAATTAATCCTATCATGTCATAACTTGAAAAAAAGGGAAGAAAACTATCTTAGATTCCAGTCAATAGAATTTTTTTGCAGTTTAATGATAAAAGGGTTTTTCCACCCAAAGTTAGTGATATGGCACCATAACAACTAATTTTTCAAGTTTCAATTCGGCTTTGAAGATATATTTAAGAGCTCAACAAGATAAAATTATTCTTCTTTCTGGAAAATATAAAAATAAAATTAAAAAAAAACATTTGGC